TCTGTCAGACCAGCAACATTGAGACTTCCCGGGATCGTGCCCCTCCCCGCGCTCTGTCTGATCAACAGTGTCGGCGCCGAGGGTTTCCGAAAGTTCGGTGATTCTGACATCGGCGCTTCTCTCTGGACTCCGCTGAACACTTCAGTCCTGCTGAGGTCACAGAGACAGAGACAGGTCACAGAGACAGAGACAGGTCACAGAGACAGGTCACAGAGACAGAGACAGGTCACAGAGACAGAGACAGGTCACAGAGACAGACAGGTCACAGAGACAGGTCACAGAGACAGAGACAGGTCACAGAGACAGAGACAGGTAACAGAGACAGAGACAGGTCACAGAGACAGAGACAGGTCACAGAGACAGAGACAGGTCACAGAGACAGAGACAGGTCACAGAGACAGAGACAGGTCACAGAGACAGAGACAGGTCACAGAGACAGAGACAGGTCACAGAGACAGAGACAGGTCAGGTCACAGAGACAGAGACAGGTCACAGAGACAGAGACAGGTCAGGTCACAGAGACAGGAGAGAAGGTCACAGAGATAGGAGAGAAGGGCTTGCGGCGGTCGCTGCACCGCCGCCCGACTGAAGCGCCAGAACATTGCAGCGCGTTGCCCAGTCGACGACGGGAAGGATTCAGACGTCATGACACCCGACTGATATTTGATGATATGCATCCTTGTCATGATGATATGTGGTCCTTGTCAAATTTGTGAAGCATCTGCAGGGTTGGTGCGGTTACTGAGGATGATATTACAACATTGAAGGCGACAATTTTCTAAGAATAGTGCATGTCGTGAATGAAAATATTCATCGGCATCTTTTTGTATAGTTAGTGACTGCTCCATGTTAACGATAAATACTTGATTTACATTCAGAACGGAATCTGAAATAAGATTCGTCACTTCTGTGGCAAAATGAGACTCGGATTGACTTCCAATTTGGAGAAGTTACCTTTGAATCGGATTAGGTTGAGCTCCACTTGCTTTGTTTCGAGTGTGGATCGAGCCCAGAAAACCGTAAAAAAACACAAGTTTGTGTGTTTAAAGAGCCATAATCCGTCCGATGGCTTGGCCTAATGCGCCTCATGACTCACCTTGCTTGCTTGCTTCCTCGATATGCTGTGCTTAAGTCCTTGCGGCATGGCTGCCGAAGATTCCTGTAGTACTCCTTTGGATTCCACAGATTTCTCACGCGTTCGTTTAGGGTTCACAGACATCTTGTACGACGACAGAACACATGAGTGAACTGAAGTCGGCGCGCTTTGATATGGACAAACGAAGGGGTTCGTTTACATGAGGTAGTTTACTTGGCTGGCGAAAAGACCCGGCCCATGCCTGATATGACATGGCCATGGCCACTGGCGGCACGCGGCCTGATTACCGCTTTAGATATGACCAAGTGACTGCGTCCCCGTGCCCACGCGTGGTCCCCTACACACAAACTCAAAGCTAGCTCCTTTGTCGTCAAATAGCTCAGCATGTGCGGTGTGTCCATATGTGCGGCGGTTCCGTCGACACCTTGCGCCACCCCGAGGTCAACTATCCTGCGGTCGGAACGTGTCTGCTGCTCTGCTGCTCTGAGCTCATACAAAGCTCTGAGCTCTGAGCTCGTACAAAGCTCTGAGCTCTGAGCTCATGCAAAGCTCTGAGCTCTGAGCTCATACAAAGCTCTGCTGCTCCGAGCTCATACAAAGGTCTGAGCTCTGAGCTCATACAAACCTCTACTGCTCTGAGCTATACAAAGCTCTGAGCTCTAGCTCATACAAGCTCTGCTGCTCTGAGCTCATACAAAGCTCTGCTGCTCTGAGCTCATACAAAGCTCTGAGCTCTGAGCTCATACAAAGCTCTGCTGCTCCGAGCTCATACAAAGGTCTGAGCTCTGAGCTCATACAAACCTCTACTGCTCTGAGCTTATACAAAGCTCTGCTGCTCTGAGCTCATACAAAGCTCTGCTGCTCTGAGCTCATACAAAGCTCTGAGCTCTGAGCTCATACAAAGCTCTGAGCTCTGAGCTCATGCAAAGCTCTGCTGCTCTGAGCTCATACAAAGCTCTGAGCTCTGAGCTCATACAAACCTCTACTGCTCTGAGCTTATACAAAGCTCTGCTGCTCTGAGCTCATACAAAGCTCTGCTGCTCTGAGCTCATACAAAGCTCTGAGCTCTGAGCTCATACAAACCTCTACTGCTCTGAGCTTATACAAAGCTCTGCTGCTCTGAGCTCATACAAAGCTCTGCTGCTCTGAGCTCATACAAAGCTCTGCTGCTCTGAGCTCATACAAAGCTCTGCTGCTCTGAGCTCATACAAAGCTCTGAGCTCTGAGCTCATGCAAAGCTCTGCTGCTCCGAGCTCATACAAAGGTCTGAGCTCTGAGCTCATACAAACCTCTACTGCTCTGAGCTCATACAAAGCTCTGAGCTCTGAGCTCATGCAAAGCTCTGCTGCTCCGAGCTCATACAAAGGTCTGAGCTCTGAGCTCATACAAACCTCTACTGCTCTGAGCTCATACAAAGCTCTGAGCTCTCAGCTCATACAAAGCTCTGCTGCTCTGAGCTCATACAAAGCTCTGAGCTCTGAGCTCATGCAAAGCTCTGCTGCTCCGAGCTCATACAAAGGTCTGAGCTCTGAGCTCATACAAACCTCTACTGCTCTGAGCTCATACAAAGCTCTGAGCTCTCAGCTCATACAAAGCTCTGCTGCTCTGAGCTCATACAAAGCTCTGAGCCCTGAGCTCATACAGAGCGCGCATCCGGGGCTGGCGCACGCAATTACGAAGCGGAGTTAATCAGGGTTAATAGCTCGGGACGGTCCCTGGCCTGCCGGCCGGGAGATGAACAGCCTCGCGTCAACGATCGCTGGCT